GTAATTCGAGGTCGGGGTTTGGGTTGTTCCTCGAGGACGCCTCGGGCGACTTCCACAGCCACCAAACCGTACGGTGACCGACCGTGCGGTGAGGTATCTTCAGGATTGTAGTGGCCTTCGGCCAGTGCCGCCGATCCGGGTCGCTCGGGGTTATTCTCCAGACGCAGACATTATGGGCGCACACTCAAACGCACACACGCAGTCACACCACCCAACCCGCGCCGCAGACATGGGGGCCTGTCAGGGCGTCCTGGGGGGCTTCTCGGAGACTTTTGGGGGCCCTTTTGGGAGCTCTTAGGCGTCTTGGGGCGTTTTTTGGGGCATCTTAGGGGCCTGTCAGGGCGTCCTGGGGCGCTTCTTGGAGGCTTCTGGGGGCCCTCTTGGGAGCTCTTGGGGCCTCCGCTTTTTCCGCTTTTCGTCCCTCTTTGGGGTCTTCTTGGGGACGCTTGGGGGGGCTCTTGGGCCGTCACCCCGCATCCGCCGGAAACTCGCACCCCCCCCCCCCCATCACCCCTTCCCTGGCAGAGCCACCCCGGCAACCCCCCCAGAGGCTGAGGCTCAGCCTCGAGGCTGTAGCTGAGACTCCTTGAAACTCACACGCCGGATCGGCGGATTTCGAGGTCACCGCTTGGATCACCGCAGGGGTTGCTAAAGGGATGGGGAGGTTCTCAGTGAATGCTACGATGGGTTGTGCTGTGTCTGGCCTAACCTAGCACATAAATAGGTGGCAAGTGCCTTGGGTGACTTTAGGGGACACAGATCCAAGCTAAGCGGGCTCCGCCAACTTAGCATAATCATGTACTGCCTGGGCCATTTAACAGATTTCTCACCCTCTCGCAAGGCACCTTGTTAGGGGCCCTCCACTGCACAGCCTCTGACTGAATCGTCCTTCGCTGTCCCGCCAGCCGAAGCTCCAGATCAGCGCGTCGCGGGGACAGGCTTCCGCGGTCCAGGTTCTACGGCGCAAAGGGGCGCTCGAGGCTGCAACCGCACCGTGGCACCCCAGGGGCGTTCGACCCTGATCTCCGACGATGTGCCGTGTTTGTTTCCATCTGGGCGGTGTCCTCTACTTCGGCCTCTGGGGCCCTCTATCGGGCCCCATGGCCATCAAGACCGGATCTGAGACGAAATCTTACCCCTGGGGAAGTCGTCGGACCCAAGGGGCCTAGGATAAAATCAAGTCGGCGGAATACATTGGACGGTTTTCGCCGCGCTTGGGCTCCCAGCCAGGCCAGTGCTCTCTCCGGGCCCCGGGAGACTTCCCAGAAGCTGCTCAGGATGAGCTGGTCCTGGGGGACGACCTTGCTGCACTCGCATGTCGCTGCCAGGGACGGCTGGCGTTTAACGATGGGCTGCAGAGCTTCAGCGCGCGCGAGGCGCACGATTGCATTTTTAGTCAGCAGCGAGGGCGGGCGCAGAATGCGTTCCAGTAGCCGCCGAAGCGCGCGATAACATGAGGCCGCGGTTCTGGCGTGCGCGCATGTCCACAGTCAAATTTCATTGTATGGCTGGGGCGTTCGTGAAGAAGTGGACCGAAGGCTTCAGACCCTGGAGGATCCCTCATCTGATGAAGGCGGCGTGATATCCATGGCCAAGCCCCAACTGGGGTGTCACCGGCTTTTAGACTGTCCGCGCTCTAAGAATGCGTTTCCTTCCAAGGGTACAATCACATCCCTGCCTCTCGGCCGATTCTAGCCCGTACCGCTTAGCCATGGGCAGTGGGCTACCAGGTTGGGCTTCGGCTTGGGTGCCCAAGGACACCGCATCCTCATCGCGCTTCCTCACGGACAGGTCGCACTGTTCCCTACTCCAGATCTCCAGGCCCGGACATTCTGAGCCTGGTCATTCTCGTAGGACGCCAGATCTCCGACTGCTGCTCCCCCAGCACCCCAGACCACCGTCGTCGTGATTTTTCAGAACGTGGACCCCCGGAGGTCTCGACCCACTCCTCAAAACTGTTTTTTTGTTTTGTCAACGGTCCCAGGGCTCGGGGAGGAACCCATAGGCAGAAACATAGCAACAAAAAACAACAACAAACGCCCGTCGTGTTTTGTTCACGACGCGAGGGTGTCTAGGCCTCATGGTTCAGAATGCAGCCCCTTGGAGGTTCAGTTCAGCATCGGCTCTGGTACACCCTTGGTCAACCACCAGCTTAACCCTTCATAATCCTTGTTAATGTTGTCTAGTTCCGCTCAATCCTGCGCATTCGGGTTTAGTTAATGTTGGGTTTAAGTTGGGCTAATCCAACCCAGTGGCCCCTCATCAGGCTCAATAAGCATTATCCTGTCTTCAGATCCGCTTTTCTGTGTTTGCTTTTTCCGATTTGAATTGTGTCGGAATTGTACCCCAAATCATGCACACAATTAGGCTGTAAGTTCTGCCTCAGACAGAACTGAGATTTCCGCAAAGGTATGATGGCACCATCGAGGGCAAAGTTCGGCGGAAACCGACATCAAAGGAGCTTGAAACATAGGGTGGATATTTCCACCCTACTTACGACATTGCCCCAAGATCGCGGGTCCGAAGTTATGGCTCGTTTTTTGTACCGAGACCTCCCAAGAGTTGTCTCCGAATCTGACATGGTCTCGACCCAATCTGGTCTTATCCTGCATGATTCCGCTAATCTAGCACAGACGGGCATGATCCGGCCAAATCTGACCTAACCTGGCATAACCTGCAGTCGAAGACCTGCGTCGTTCTGCTGAATCCGGCTTCATCCTGGGCTCAATTTGGTTTGATCCAGCCCACCAGCCATTCAATCGGGCTTAATGTGCCATTAATCTTTCTCATGGAGACTTGGTCCAGGATTTGTTATTAATCATGCTTCGAGGACCGGCGCTGCGATGCTCCGACTTGAGTACGACGTACATCCGACGTGAACCCGACGTGGATCTGACGAGTTTTCGGGTGGTCCGAAGCCGCGCGAGGCTTCCAGGATTTCCTTCAGAAGGCTCAATCGAACATAAGCGTCCTCGACGCCCCCTCCCAATCATGGCCTCCCTCCTCATCATGACTCGAGGACCCATCTCCTAACTGTGACTCGAGGACCTCCCTCCTTCCAGCTCTTACGGAGACCTCCTGCCCAGATCATTGCATACAACATCGTTTGTCGGTCGCGATCGGTAGCCCCCCGATGGGCAGTCCAGATCGGTCGCGACCGATCGCGACCCATTTGGAGTGCTCGGGGACCCGCGCTGCCCCCGCGCCCCCGCGCCGCCCCGCTCGAGCCTCGGGGCGCCTGCGCGCCCGCGCGGCGGCGCCTGCGCGGCCGCCGCGAACTCCCTGGCGGGCCCCATGGGGTCGCCCGGCGGCGCCGCGCCGCCCGGGTCGGCGGGCGCGGCCGCCGCGTCGGTGCTCGAGGCCGGGCACGGCGAAGAACCACAAGCACAGAACAGGGGATGTTTGGGGAGGGCGCCTCGGGGGAGAGCCCACCGACCTCGACGGGAGCACCGTGGTCGTGGTCGATTTGGCCGCCCCAGGACGCCACATCGGCCACGACCAGCACGAGGCTGGTCTCGGCGTTCCGGCAACCCTTGGCATGCGCAAGACATTTCCCCCGGGTGTGTCCTCGATGTGGTCGTGGTCGCTTGCTGTCCCCGCAGCGTGGGCGGCCACGCGCGAGCCGCCCCCGTTCCCTGGCATCTTCGGGCGCCCACTCGCCCTCGTCTCTTTCTTTAGCCGCCTCCTCTTCCTCCTCCTTCTTCTCCCATCCCCATCCCCTCCTCCTCCTCCTCCTCCTCCTCCCCTCCTCCTGCTCCTCCTCCTCCTCCTCCTCCTCCTCCTCCTCCTCCTCCTCCTCCTCCCTCCTCCTCCTCCTCCTCCTCCTCCTCCCTCCTCCTCCTCCTCCTCCTCCTCCTCCTCCTCCTCCTCCTCCTCCTCCTCCTCCTCCTCCTCCTCCTCCTCCTCCTCCTCCTCCTCCTCCTCCTCCTCCTCCTCCTCCTCCTCCTCCTCCTCCTCCTCCTCCTCTCCTCCTCCTCCTCCTCCTCCTCCTCCTCCCCTCCTCCTCCTCCTCCTCCTCCTCCTCCTCCTCCTCCTCCTCCTCCTCCTCCTCCTCCCCCTCCTCCTCCTTTCTAGGGTCTCGTCGGCTTTCCAGCCTCGCGATGCCTTCCGGCGACCGCGCCTCGCCTCGCCGAGAGCGTGCCAGAGGTGCCCGGATCGTCCCGAACGGCCGCGGGAGAGCCGAGCTGCGACCCCAAACCCAGGGGGCAGCGTGAGCAGGGCGCCCGCCCCGTTCTCGTCTCACGCCTTGGCATCCCAGATGGTGTCGGAGAAGAGGGGGGTCGGAGCATCGCGCCGTGTCGCCGAATCATCGGCGATGCAGCTCGATGTGGTGCCCGATGTTCCCCACGCTGGCGTCGCCGATGCATCGCTGACGTCGCCGATGCAGCTCCGACGCATCGGTGATGCATCTTCGATGCTGTGCGATACTCCGACCCCATCTACTCTGACCCCGCCTGGGAGACCTAAGTCAAGACGCTGAAATCCCAGACGTGCTCGCGCCGTGTCGTCGTTGCCCCACTTCAGGGGGCCCTCCCCAGGCCCCGGGACCGTCAGAAAACAGATCGCTGGCCTTGGGGAAAGAGTCAAGACTTCGGGGGGGCCCGTATGGAGAAAAGTGCAGACATCGGAGGCCTGGGCACCGTACCGTCAGGGGCGTTTTTGCTCATCCCGTCCCTCCACCAGTTCTGGCCTACCACGCGTCGGCGCGGCACGCCAGCTGCGTTCCGGCCCCCAGGTGTCAACGTCCCAAGTGTTCCCGGGGCCTCCCGTCTCTCGAAGCGGACTGGCACGCTATCCGCTCGCAAGGCCCAGCTTGTCGCCAGGGCCGCCGCTGCGACACGCTCAGCAAAAGTTCTTGGACGTACTCCTTTGGGCTCAAGAGGGGCTCGTGTTCCCTGGCCGCTCGTCAGATCCAGGTCGGAGAGCGTGTCCGTTGCCGAGGCTCGCCGTGGCCAGAGAAGCCCGTGCGTTTCTCATTCGGCGTTCTTTGTTTTTCTGGTATTCAGCAAGATGGTTTATACTCCGAAGGACAGGTCTGCGGCAGAGTGGGCGCCTACGTCCCGGGGAGGGGGGTTCGGATATCCCCCAGCGTTGTCTGGGCCCGCATATGGGGCAGGGCTCGTGCGCGGCTGCACACACCGAAGGTGGCGCCCGGCGAGGACGCGGAAGAGCTGTTCTTCCGGCTGGGGTGCTCGGGCGGGACTAGGACCAGGACGTGGATATTTATTCCATAGCGTTCCGGAACGCTCTCGGAGAGCTCGGGGACGCTCTGGAACGGCCGCGCAGGTCCCCGATAGTTCCATCCTCCATGACTGCTGGATCTCAGAGATCCCCGGTTTCTCCTGGTCCGATGTGGTCCTGGTCCTAGCTTCGGGGGCGTCCAAGATAGGGGTGATGAATAGAGGGCGGGGGATATCATGGCCAGGGCAGTGAGGTTTTTCAGAGATCATGACCCCCCCCTCGTTTTTCAACACGTTTCCTGGCCCACCCTCGTCTTCGCACATGCCATGACCTGAGAACCCCACTCTTGGACGCCCCCCTGGACGCCCCCGATTCGTCTTAGGTACACGGATGGCCTCCCCGTCCTCCTGCCCACGCGGGCGCGCGTGCGCGCGATGCTCCGCGGCACCGCGCTGGGTGCGGGCGACGTGCTGGGCAGGTGTCCGCCCTCGCTCGCGGAGGTCACGGTGGAGAAGCTCGCCATCGCCGCGGTGATGGCGGGCTGCACCCCGGAGAGCAGCGGAGGAAAAGCCTGAGACCTTGGCGTTGTATTTCTTTCGCTGCAGGTCGATCTGGCTGGAAAAATGGCGCAGGAAGATGGGGTCTTGGGCTCGGGCCGAGATTTGTTTCTGTTGCGATGTTGGTTTTCCTTCGCAACGTCGGATCTCCAGGGAGGAAGAACAGGTACCGATGGTCAGGCTTCGGGTTGTGCACAAGAGAGAGCCCGTCCAGTTAGCCCCAGCTGAGCGACGCAAAAAGACGGGGCCGTCTGCGCCGACAATGGCACGTAAGTTGCCCGCGTAAGGTCGCGCGTACGCGCCCTCGCTTCCTATGCAGCGTGCCGCGCCGGTGGCCCGCGAAAGCCGCGGCGTAAGGCCGCTATGCCATCTCGCGTAAGACTCGCTCTTGATCGTAGCCCCAGCTGGCCTCAGCAGGCCCCCCGGGTAGTCCCAGCAGGCCCCCCGAACAGTCCGGGGCGGTTCGTCAACACCCTCTGGCGCCTGGCGCCGCCTCTGGCGCGCTCCACCCCGGACTAGATTCGGTGGGTGGGCCGGTTGGGGTCAGCTGGGACTACTCCAGGGGCCTGTTGAGGCCAGCTGGGGCTGTCTGCGCGCAGCCCGAAGCCTTAACCATGACGAGCGAACAACCCACACCCATACCCAGAGGGGGTCGGAGGAAGGGGGCCCGGCTATGGGTATGGGTGCGGATTGTCGGACCCCTGGCAGACTCCCGTTCGGGCGGGGATCCCCCTCCGACAACACGCACCCATAGCCCCCGCCGTCCCTCCTATGCGTATGGGTGTGTGTTGTTCGCTCGTCATACTAGGCATCGATTCGGGTCCGATTGCCTAGTTTTCGCATTTGCGTGCCTCCTTCGCCACGGCTGGGTTCGCCTCGAAGCTCGGTTCGGAACGCAGCCCGGGAGAGGACTTGGAGTAGCGGTATCGGTACCTTTTGGTTTGTCCAGGAGATGTTCAGGATCGTGGTGGCCGCGGCCAAGGCCATGTTGCTTCCAGAGTTCGGCCTCCATCCGACGAAGAAAAAACTGCATGAGCAGAAGCTTTCAGAGGTCCGCGCGGGTTCCTTGGACCCGCGTTGGACCCACCTCCTTGGCCGGCCGAGCGCGCCAGGGGCGGCGCCAGAGGCGCCGCCAGGGGGGGGGGGGGGCAGCGCCGATCCTAGAAATCCGCGCGAACCTCCGAAAGTTTCAGTTTGTGAAGTTGTTTCTTGTTCCATCCGTGGAGTGCACGCCACCACCCCAGTGTCTGCTGATCACGCGATCGGCGATCACACATCGCAGTGATCGGGGGATCACGTGATCGCCGCTCACGTGATCCGTTCAACTTGATCATATGATCGTCCGGGCCAGAATGCGTGATCGATCCGTGATCGGCGCGGTGGCCATTGTGATCAGGGCGGCGATAGGATCACGTGATCGGTTGGTGTGATCGGCCTGGACACTAAGGCCACCACCATGGGCGCCACCCCGGTGGTGGTTGTGAACGGGCCGTGCCGGCATGCCGCAGCCGTCAATTTCCGCCATGGCGCTTGCGGCAGCGGCAGCCGCAGCACGAGCATCGGCCGCGCCCTCAAGCTGCTGGTGCTCAGCATCGTTTGGCCTGTCCCCATCCCCGCTGGGCCATGGCATCTCAGCCCGCCCCACCAGCCCGCTCTCCTACCCTGAGATCCTGGCGTGGCAATCTGTTTTGCAACGGGCGTTCTCGATTGGTTTCGGGAGACATGTCGATCTGGCTCGAAAACTTGTCTAAAGAAATATGAGGTCTAGGGCTCGGGTCGTGTTTTTGTTGTGCGGTGTTGCACTTCTCTCGCAGTGTCGGATCTCAGGGTAGGCGGGGATAGTGCACAAGAGATCCACAGGAACAGGCGCACGTCCCCACGCAGGTGGGGAGTTCGGGCAGCAGGGCCAAGGCCACTCCAGCGGGGCCAGGGATCAGTCAGCGATGCTCAGGTGCAGAACGTGGGCCGCTCGAAGCTGGCCGGCACGGAGTCCACCACCATCGGCACCCCGATGAAGTTCGGCCTGTGCTTTGCGGAGTGGGAGGAGCGCTGCGGAGCTCGAGGGCGGAAAGACACACCCGTAGCCACGGCCTCGCGGGGCCCCGGCCCCCTGGGCCGCGGCCCCGTGGATATACGGGGCGTTTCTGTTCGTGGATGCCCCGCGTGGAGCTTGACCATGCGACCGCGTGACTATCCACGGGATCGCGCCCCAGAGCCCCGAGAGGGCGTGGATATGTGTACGTTGGGTTCGCGTCGTGTCGACCGGCGGCGACCCCGCCGCTGGCGTTCAACGCTGGACGCCGCCGGCGACCCAGAATCGGTCGATGTTGAACAATCTGACGTTTTTGAAACGGCCGATCGTGCAACGCAGTCCCAGATCCCCGACGTCATGCTTTTTTCAGAACGTCGACCCTCAGAGGTCTCGACCCATTCCCCAGGACCGGTTTTTCATCCCGAGCCGTTTTGCTGACGGTCCCGAGGCCTGGCGAGGGCCCCCAGAGGCCGACAGTAGCGAAGCACCCGCCGTCGTGATTTTTTCATTGCTCCATGGGGCCTGGGGTGTCAGGGGCCAACGTCGGGGTCGACACGGCACGAACACGCGGTGCGTGCGCCGCTCGCGAGGAGCGTGGGAGCCGCTGTCGGTGGCGCAGGGGGGCGCCGGGCGGGGCGAGGATGCGGTGACAGTGATGGCGGCGTCGTCGGGGCCCGTGCAGCTGGTGGACTTCTTCTCTGGGCCGTGGGAGCTGGTGCGTCTGCTGGGACACCACCTGGCCGGCACGTACTCCTATCGTCAAGATTCCTTTGTATACCGCACCCTCCCCGCCCCAGTCAGATTCCACCGCCCAGGGCCACCTTTCAGTATACAACAACCACGCCCCAGGGAGGGAATTCTGTATACCAGACCCACGACCAGGACCCTCGCTCGCCCCCGGAGGCTTTTGGGTAGTAGTATACAATTTTGGGGGCGGACCTAACGCCACGAGAGTGCGGAGTGAGTCGCGCTTCGCGGTCTAGTCGCGCTTTGCGAGGCGCGAGTCCCTCGTCCTGTTCCCGATTGGGAGGGGGCGGCGCGAAAGCGCGAAGATGATCGCGCTTCGCGGAGCGCAGAGCGCGAAGGTGGTTGCCCTAGGTATTCGCCGTCCACGCCCCTGGTCAACAACTGCCTGCTGGTGATCTCGCCCGAGCACTACGACACGCTGCTTAAGGCCGGGATGGACTCGAAGCAGAAGCTGGCGAGGGCGCTGTGGAAGGAGAGCTCAAGGCGCACGCGGCGGCCCCAACCCTCCCGGAGAGGGGCAGAGGGGGCAACATGACGGCCCAGCCATCCACCGACATGAATGTCTCAGTCCGCGGCTCCAGAGGTCCCGACCGCTTCCCTGGGGGTGCAGTCGACGCGCCTAGTAAGGACGCGCGTCTTTATCTAGGGTGCCCTTGTGTCCTTGCCTCTGCGGCCCGTCCTCGGCCGTTTTCGCTGGTCGCCCGCCGCCAACAAAATCCCAACTTCGGTCTCCATGGTTCTTGCGTCCTCCGTCCTTAATGCACGTTTTGACGGTAGCTCTCCGTGCCGAATTTTCATGTTTGATGGCATCCCGGTGCCCGTTGTCCGGCTCTGAGGCGCCGAGATCGAAGGAACCCCCGCTGGGATGGAACAGACCATGCCGTGGGAGATCTTTGATCGACAGCCCCCTGGCCAGTCGCCGGATCTCTGAGGTCCTCGATGTGGCCTCACCCGATGTCGTCCTCGTCCTGTCTTCGTCTTGTTGGAAGAATCAAGTACTGCGTCGGATCTCCTGGGATTCTGCGGCGGGGTGCACAGTGTGCACCGCCGCCGTGCCTGGCCGAAGCCGCCCTGGGCCCCTCGGAGGGTATGCTACGGTGGGCACGTCGGGTAAGGGGCTGGCTTGCCTGCAGGAGCCCCTGCGGAGATCTCGTGTCCCCCGATGGCCCCTGGGATCCACATATATAAGCACAGAGGCACCCCCGCTCCTTAGAACGCGCGGGCCGTCTCCATAGATGCAGGGCCGGCGCCTTTCAAAAAGGAGACTCCTTCTCAGAAGCCTTCCCCCTGCCCTCTATCACCTTGTTCGCGACGCCAAGCATAAGCCTTCGAGCACCTTAGGGAGTCCAAAGACCGATGCCAACTGTGCCCGTGCGTGTCTTCCTAGTAAGTCCTCTTGCCGTATGGCCGCACTGTATGGACCCACCATTCTCGGCCAGGAGGGCGTATCCGTCATCCTTGAGCCCAATGTGGCCTTGGCCAGGTACGCTTGTGGTGGTGGTGTACAAGTGCCCTCTGCGTAGCTGACTTCTGCATATGGATGAAATTATGTCCCTTTTCTTTGCGTAACATTCCCCCCCCCCTGCCGCCTTTGCAAACGGGGCTGGCTCGAAGAGGCATGCAAGGGAGTCCCGACTGGCGTGGAGTCCAGACTTCCCCTCGTGTCTCCCCACGCCCCCTCCACCACCATGTAAGGAAACTTGCCGGGGTCCAAATCCTGGCTCTCATTGTTGCCTGGCCAGGGCACCCGTCCGCCTCGCCTCTTGGCCCCCCCTGCCTCTAGGGCTCCTGGATGGGGTCGGAGTAGATGGGGTTGGAGGATCGCGCTGCATCGCCGATGCATCGCCGATACGGCTCGATGTGCTGCAGCCTGATGTGCTGCACGTCAAAGTCGCCAAGGTGCATCGCCGATGTATTAGGGATGCGGCGCGATCCTCCGACCCCATCTACTCCGACCCATCTAGGAGGCCTCGATTGCCCTCCTCCGAGATGGGCGCGACCTCCGCGTGGCCCCCCCCCCCCCCAGGCACATGGTGAGGCACCTCCCCGCGATCCTGGTCCGCCGCGCTGAATCTTCGGGGGGCCAAGGCCTCGGCATCGCTCGGACGGGTGCGATTTTCCGTCTGTGGGGACCATCGAGGAGCATATGGGATTCTCTCGCGAAGAATATGCGCACGAAAGCGACAGATGGACACGGAATGGACGTCTGAGCGATGTCAAGAGACTCGACTCGGGACGTGAGCCGAAAAGCACAGGCGGCCAGTTCTCGGGAGTCTCCTGTGGGAGTTGAGGGGGTGCTCCCGTGGGAATTGAGTGGGTTTGACTGGGATTTCGTGAGGTCGCAAACGGGATCTGGTGGGTCCAGTGGGGGCCCCTAAATCTCACCAACTCAGCGCTCGTGCGACTACCCGAGGCTCCCATGCCTGGCCACCTAAATTCGGGACGTGAGCCAAAAAGCACCAGCGGCCGGTTCTTGGGAGTCTTTCGCGTCCGGGGACCCCCACAGGCTCTGGGCCGCACCGTGTGTCAGGCCGAGCACACAGCGGGGCCTCGGGAAGCGGTGCAGGTCCGTGGGAGCGCACTTCGCCTCAGCGAGTCGTGATGCCGGTGGTGACGGGTTGGCCATGCCCGCCCTGTACAATAATCGGCTACGCGTATTATTTCTTATGGAAAAGACAGCCTGGGGACGCCTATCCGAGGGGGGGTGTCCGCGGGGGTTTGTCTGGATCCTTCTGGGGTTGTCCAAGGGCCAAGGGATTGTCCAGGCCGCGTTGTCTTGCGGGCATGTGCACCTATCATTATCGTACATACCATCAAACGCATGGCACAACCAGGGAAGCCCAGCTGGAAGTGTCTCCTCCCTTTCCCCCTTCCCCTTCGCTGGAGTGGCCTTCAGTGCGCGCCCACTGGGGCCCCCCGATCACTTGCGGTGCGATACGGTGCGATAGTAGCGTCGTGCGCGCTTGTGTTCGGCCCCCCCCCGCGGCCCCCTGCCGCCGCGCACCAAAGGTTACTCTTACCCGGGGTCACTCATGCGTGTAGCCGAAAAAATTGTAGCAGGTCCGCGCGGACTTTGTTGGTCGACGCTGGACCCCTCTGGCGGTGCCTCTGGCGCCGCCTGGGTACCTGCGATGATTTCTGTCCTCGTCTGTCGCTGTTTGTTCCTCGATGGCTTTCTTCACGTAGCCAGCGCGGACTCGACACGGTGTCTATGTTGATTCGACGTGGATCCTGGACGATTCGACACGGATCTTCGACGCGGATCCGACGGTGGATGGCCGCACGACGGGCCGGGCCATCATTGGAGGGCCGCTTCAGACAAGTGTCTCCGCGCCCCTGGAGCGGGGACGACGACAACGACCACGATGAGTAGGATGAGTAGGATGATGATGATGATGATGATGATGATGATGATGATGATGATGATGATGATGATGATGATGATGATGATGATGATGATGATGATGATGATGATGATGATGATGATGATGATGATGATGATGGTGGTGGTGGGGGGGGTGGTGGTGGTGGTGGTGGTGATGATGATGATGGTGGTGGTGGTGGTGGTGGTGATGATGGTGATGGTCATGATGATGATGACGACGGTGGTGGTGGTGATGATGATGTTGGTGGTGATGACGATGCTGGTGATGGTGATGGTGATGGTGAAGGTGAAGGTGAAGGTGATGGTTGATGATGGTGAGGCTGGTGGTGAGGCTGATTATCATGCTGCTGATGGTGATGATGCTGATGATGATCCTGATGAGTGTGACACTGCTGGTAAGGATGAATATGCTGATGATGCTGCTGATGATGATGATGGTGAGGGTGATGGGATGGCGATGATGGCGGTGTTGTTGACGATGACGATGGTGCTGACGATAATGATGCTGATGATAACGATGACGATGACGATGATGATGATATTGATGATGATGGTGATTGTGGCGATGATGGTGGTGATGATGGTGATTGTGGCGATGATGGTGGTGATTGTGGCGACGATGATGATGATAATGAATATGATGATGGTGGTGATGATGATGATAATGGATGCTGATGATGATGTTGATGATGATGGTGACGATGATGAGGATGATGATGATAATGGTGATGCTGATGGTGATTGTGATTTTGATGCTGGTGGCGATGGTGGCGGTGATGATGATGACGATGATGAGGATGAGAAGGAGGATGATAATGAGGAGGAAGGGGGAGGAGGACGAGGAGGAGGAGGAGTAGGGAGGAGGAGGAGGAGGGAGGAGAAGGAGAAGGAGGAGGAGGAGGAGATGGAGACGAACAGTAAAGAGGGTGGCGGGAGGACGAGGCAGGAAGAGGAAGAGGGAGGAGGAGGAAGAGGAGGGAGAGGGATGGAGATTGCTAGAGGAGGAGGGGCGCCGGTGTCTCGACCGGCCCTCTGAGGTACAGTACTCTTCAGACCCAGCATCTCCCATCTTCTCCTCCTTCTGTTTCCCTCTGCCTTCCTCCTGCCTGCCTCCTGTCTCCTGCCTCCTGTCGAGGATCGAAGGATGACAAAAGCATGAACTTTCGGAGGTCCGCGTTGGTTTCTTGGATCGGCGCTGGACCCCCGTGGCGGCGCCTCCGGCGCCTCCCCTGGCGCGCGGAGACGCGCAGCGCCGATCCAAGAAATCCGCGCGGACCTCCGCAAGTTTTCCCCGAATCACTTTGGGCTTCTTGCTTGTTGCGAAGGAGCTGGGCTTGTCCGTCGGTCTGGCAGCTATGTGGCCGCCGTCACCGACCCGTCGCGCTTGCTGGGGGCAGGAGTCCCATTCCGTGCAACAACTGTGGCAAAGTCCACACGCGCGCGGCGTCGCGCGCGCGCATGCCGCAATCTTTCCCGAAACCTTGTGTTTCGTAGAGAATTCAAAATCGAGGTGGTGAAACAACCACTTGTTTTGCAACATGAGGTCTCCAAGAAGTTTGCGCGCGCGCTCCCTCGAGCTCTTGGAATAACCATCGGGCGCGAGCATGTCGAAGTCATTTGAACGCCCTTGCGCGCGCTCTCGGGGGGGGGGGGGGGGCGGGGCACGATCCTTGTCAAATCATTCCATGCCGGCCACTCGCGCCCGTCGGCCGCGCGCATGTCGAAATCTTTCCAAGTCTTTCATCACCGACACGTTGACACCATCGTCGTCTCAAGCGTGATCAGCATCGGCGCCGTTATTGGTCTTGCCGTCGTCATCGTTATCGTCGCCATCAGCAATGCTACTATCATCATCGTGTCTGACGTTGTCGACGTCGCCATGATACCGGGCCCGCCCGAGTCACCGATTCGAATTGAAGTGCCCGCGCGCCAGCACGTCCTGCAAGACGCGCCGGGGGGTCCTCAGCTGTCGGCGCCACCGCTGCCGCGTTGGTCGTGCTAGACTTTCTGGTTGCTTTGCGCGCGAGCCTGCGCGCGCAAGCGGGTCCGCAGCGATGCGCCAACCAGCGCCAAGCAGTCATCGCAATCGCGGTCGCATGACTTTTGCAAACCAAGTTGCGGGTGGCTGGGTGGGATGACTGCGCGAGCAGCGGAGGTGACAACTCAATGAGAAACATGTGAATGTCGCCCCGTAGATTGCGCACCGCGTAGATCGCACAACATCGATTACACCACAGCAGTGCTCCTGTCGAAAAAAATATGATCCCCACCCGCCCAGGCTTGTGTCATCCCCCAGGGATCGCGCAATTCACAATACATTCTGCCCCATCGTTCACTTTAAAAATATGAACTCGTAGCAGTCCACGGGGGGATCATTATCGAACCCCCTCATCGCTGACGCACCACGTAGATCGCACGGCATAGATTTCCCACCTATATTGCACCATGTATTGTGTTCTTCATATATCGCACCACTTCTACTGCGCAGCATTGGTTGCACAACGTAGATTGCACAACATTGATTGTACAACCGTGATTGCACCACATAGGATGCCCCACATATATTGCACAGCACATATTGCTAGAACCGCACTGCTTGGGGCCCATGCCGGCTAACACTTGTGTATTTCATTTCGCCCTCCTGCCCGCTCCTCCCTCCTCTTCCTCCGTCTCATCCTCCTCGTGCTTCCTTCCTTTAGGTCCGGCTCGGGAAGCTGAGGGCGTCGCGGGTGCCATCCTTCGTCTTCCGTGCCCTGGGCTGCACGCTCGCCGCAGTGGGCTTCTTCATGAGCTGCCTAGGCAGGCCGCCGACCCTGATCCCGAAGTACAACAGCCCGGACAGCAGGAGGAGGAGGAGGGTTCGAGGCTGGAGTCAGGACGTGGGCCGTTCTAGCGAGGGCCTGGGCCTCGAGGGCCCGACGGTTTGGCAACCCCTCTTGGGCTGAGGGCTGGCGGAGGATGGGCTGCGGGCGGCGGAGGTCAGACGGTGGCGGCGGGTCCGCCGTCGGAAAGCCAGCAGAAGTGAGCAGCGAAACTTGACGCCCTGCTTGCTGGGGTCTCCCCTCCCCCAGCGCACTGGCGGGGGCCCAGAAGTGCGGTGGCCAGGGCGTTGCGCAGTTGATGCCGCCCCAGAGTGGCCACGAGGCTACTCTAGGCCGATTCCTTTTGAAACTACAGTTGAGCATATGAGTAACAAACAACCTCCTTCCGAATAGGTGGGCCAGCGTTTCTCAGTCAACGTGCCGGAAAGCTGGCTCAGTTTCTTGAGCACGTTTGCCCTTCCAGCGTTATCAACATGAATCGGCCCTGTCTTGTTTCAAGAAGCTTCCAGGAAGCTGGCTCAGATTTCTTAGATGTAGTTTTCTCGATCATCTTTCCGGCAGTGCAACAGTGAGACGTCACGATGACATTTCTGGGTTGGGTTCGGGGTGGACAGAATCGGCCACGCATCCACCGCCTGGGGAGCTGGAGTCCCAGGGGCTCCAGGAGGCAGTGGCCATGGATACTCTCGAGGCATCGAGGGGCCAAAGGTGTCCTGTCCATGTCCACGGCCCCCTGGGGCCTTGGGACATCGCTTCTCCAGGCGGTGGGTACGTGTGCTTCGCACAGGAGGAGATACACAGACGAGGGCCGTTCACCACCACCATGCCTGGCCAAGGCCATCCTGTGCCTTGGTCAGGCATGATCGTTTTATAAGGAATCCTGCAGCAGCTGATTCAGAGCAAGAGGAGGCCCAAATCACCCACCTGGGCGCGAGGGAGTCCGCGGAGGAACTTCCTAAACGAGGGTTCCACTAGTTGTAAAAAAGAATACCACCGAGGATTCCCACAGGAAGGGCGGGGAACCCAAAGACGTTTGGTCCGGCAACCGTTTCGCCAGGGACCGCCTCGCATCTGATGCAGGAATCGCGCTCTGGCCTCAATGCCGGCTACCCGTGAGGTCTGCGCTCCACGATCCTGGATAGAAAGAATACGGTCACGTGCGCATGGCCGTGCTCTCACCCCCGTCCCGGCTGCATCCTGGATCCCTGTCCGACCTCCTGCTCCTCGACCCGCCTCTTCACCGTTGCTGCTGTCAGGGTGCCTTGCTGGCGCCAAGTGTGTCCCCACATCCTGAGTGGGGTGTTTGCTTTATTCCCACATCCTGTGTGGGGCTCTTCTTGTTTTCCACTACAGCCCTCCCCTTCTCCCTTGCCTCTCCTCCGCTGATGCTGCTATACTACCACAGCCGCATTACCTCACGACCACTACTGCAACAACTATTACAACAACTACCACTACTACCACTGCCATTCCCACCCCTCCAAGGAGGCCCCGCCTGAGCGAGGAGGGTATCGGATAACCATCTCATTTGCAAGTTGTCGTGCCCCCCACACCCCTCCAGGGAGGCCCCGCCTGAGCGAGGAGGGTACCGGATAACCATACTCTCTACAAGGTTTCGTGCCCCCCCCACCCCTCCAGGGAGGCCCCGCCTGATCGAGGAGGGTATCGGAGAACCATTTTATTTACAAGGTTAAGTGCCTCTCCCACCCCTCTAGGGAGGCCCCGCTTGAGCGAGGAGGGTATCGGAGAACCATACTTTTTACAAGGTTTCCTGCCCTTCCGCCCCTCCAGGGAGGCCCGCCTGAGCGAGGAGGGCATCGGAGAACCATACTGTTTACAAGGTTTCGTGCCCCCGTCACCTCTCCAGGGAGGCCCCGCCTGAGCGAGGAGGGTATCTGAGAACCATGCTATTTCAACGGTTTCGTGCCCCCCCCCCCTGGGTATCGGAACACCGCACTATTCACATTGTTTCGTGTCAATCCCGCTCCTCCAGGGAGGCCCCGCCAGAGCGCCATTGAGACCCTTGACAGGCCCCGAGCACGCCCACAGAGGCCCCTGCCCAACTTGGGCCCCTCTGTGGCATCCTTCCGTGGGGAATTCCGGTAGCATAATTTTCCTGACGTTTCGCCTGATCCTGGGAGCCCGCAGTGCCTGTCCGATAGAACGGACAAGGAGGATGGCATGGGTCAGAAGGAGAAATCCCACCCCCCCAGTCCCGACTCCCACCCCCGAGCCGGCGATCCAGGGGTGGGGGAGAGGAGGCCACATCACCACTGCCTGCGGAGGCCAGCTCCGAGGCACGTCCAGCACTCGCAGCATTCCACCCAGTTCCGTCTTAGCATGCTAGGGTCCGGGTCATGGACCCTCTCCGATCCGCTCCACGGAAGCCACATGGACCTGGATTATGGGCAGGAGGACAAGGAGGAGCTGGAGGAGGGCGAGGGGGGAGGCTGGGCGAGGAGTCCTTCCAGATCGTCGTCGCCGGGGGCGAGGCCGGCAAATTCTCGAGCCTCATGCCGGGCTTCGGGGTCGGCAGGGCGCCGATGTCCACCGCGGACATGTCGCGCCCCGTCACCGCGCGGGTTGAGGCGGCCCGAGCGGGCCGCGCCACGAGGGGGGGCACCGCAGAGAGCCTTCGCTCACGTCTACCCCCCACGCACACACACACACACATAAACATACACATACACACAAAGGGGAGGGAGGAGGAGGAGGAGGAGGAGGAGGAGGAGGAGGAAGAGGAGGAGAGGAGGAGGATGAGGAGGAGGAGGCCCGATGGTTCCACAGCCTGCCCTCCTCCTCCTCCTCATCCTCCTCCTCCTCCTCCTCCTCCTCCTCCTCCTCCTCCTCCTCCTCCTCCTCCTCCTCCTCCTCCTCCTCCCTCCTCCTCCTCCTCCTCCTCCTCCTCCTCCTCCTCCTCCTCCTCCTCCTCCTCTCCTCCCTCCTCCTCCCCCCCTCCTCCTCCTCCTCCTCCTCTCTCCTCCCCTCCTCCTCCTCATCCTCCTCATCCTCCTCCTCCTCCCTCCTCCCGCCTTCCCCTCCTCATCCTCCGCCTTCTCCTACTCAGCCTCGCCCTCATCCCCCTTCCCTCGCGCCGTTTTCGTCGCTGTCCTCCTCCTCCTCCTCTCCCTCGTCCCCCCCCTCACTCGTCGTCCTCGTCCTCCTCCTCCTCCTCCTCCTCCTCCTCCTCCTCCTCCTTCCCCTCTTCCTCCTCCTGCCACGTTCTTGGAGGAGGGGGAGGGGACGGGGACGGGGGAGGAGGAGGAGGAGGAGGAGGAGGAGGAGGAGGAGGAGGAGGAGGAAGATGAGGAGCACGAGGAGGAGGAGGAGGACGACGACAGGGGGGATACGTGCTCGGCGGAAAAGGAGGAGGTGGTGATGACGAAGACTGGCAGCAATGGCAGCAACGACAACGAGTGAAAATGACGAGGAGGGAGAAGGAGGAGGAGGAGGAGGAGGAGGAGGAGGAGGAGGAGGAGGAGCATCGGAAGGAGGTGGAGGGGGAGGGGGAGGAGGGGGAGGGGGAGGAGGACGAAAAGGAGGATGCAAATCTGCTGGAACATGAGAGTGGTTAGTGTGTCGCCCTGGCAGCTTGCGCCTCTGCTGCAAGTAGCGGAGGGCGGCCGAGGTCAGCGCTTGATGAGAGGAACATGAGGTGGGAGAAGTTGCAGGAGGAGGGAGGAGGAGGAGGAGGAGGAGGAGGAGGAGGAGGAGGAGGAGGGAGTAAACATATCCCGACAGGCGTCCAGCGACCACCTTGCATGTCCTGCCTGCGGCAGGCTGCAGGGCTCGCTGAGTCGCTGGCAGACTGTCGGGGGACCCACCCCAGACCACGAAGACGGGCGGCCTGGACACCAGAGCCCATGTGGTATGCAGGTCGTCGGGTCCGGTCCCCAGACTATTTGCGGAGTCTTGGGCGCTGTCCCTTGTCTACCGGAGAATGCCCGCGCCGCAGCAGCGGTGGCGGGAATGCAGTCGAAAGAAGAAGGACCACTGCAAACCTACGATGCATCTTCGACAACCGTTCCTTAAGTCCGTTTCGAACTTATGAAGCGCGTTAAGACGAATGGGCCTGGCGCCAAGGCGAGAGCCACATAATGAAAATCACCCGCCTTCCATCCTTGAAGCTGCCCCTTGAATCGTTTAAGACGAATGTTCGCGGCGCTCAGGCGAGAGCTACACTTGAAAACCACACGCCCTCCAACCATGGCGATGTGGCCATAGTTTAGGTTAAATGCGCGCGGCGCTCAGGCGATATCCACACTTTGACAGCGACCCGCGCTCCATCCTTGACAAGCCTTGCAACTTTCAGACGTCAGTGTCATGTGGTAAAGAAGTGTGAGGCGTAACGCCCGGCCCCTCCCTACTGACACGCCTGGGACTTGTTAATAAGCGAGACGGATGAAGGCGGTAGACAACATGCGACAAGGACGGCCGACGGGCGACGAGGACGGCGGACGACGACGACGACGACGACGACGACGACGACGACGACGACGACGACGACGACGACGACGACGGGGGCCGAGGGTTGCCGGCGACGATGCAGGGTGGACCATGGCGTCAGACGGCGGCGGCGGCGTCAGTGGACCATAGCGTCAGTCGGGCGAGGGCCGCTTACGGTGCCTGCCACCTCATCCACTTCCACTTCAATCTCCAACCTCTGGTCCCTCGTGAGCTTTCCAGTCACGGCGCTGAGATGGGGACCTCTTCGGGCTCAGGTGTAAGGCTCTGGTTTTCGGGCTTTCCTCGGATGTAAGTCGGGGGGCCTGTTCGAGGCCGAGGCTCGCTGTGGCCAGAAAAAGAACCCTTCGTTCCTTATTCTTTGTTCCTTCTGGTTGCACGGTGGCTGCACGGTAGGTTCGCGTCGTGTCGGCGCGGTGGCAGCCCCGCCGCGAGCGGTCACGGCTGCAAGCCGCCAGTGATCCTGAGTCGGCCATCATGGAACGATCTGGCGATCGAAAGGCAGCAGGTCTCGTTCAAGGCCGGGCGAAACGCGCGGTGTCAGAAAACAACGCCAGGGTCGCCACGGCACAACCTGCCGAACCTCTTTTTCAATCTCCGATGGAAGCGGTCCAGGACCCCAGGGCGTTTCCCCGGGAGCGGCCCTTCATTCTGAGTCGTTTTCGGACCTTCCCGGGGCCCGTGGAGGGCCCTGGGAGCCTGAAAAGAAGGAAAAGTCCAGGACCTGGTTCCGCAGATCTCGCTCCCAGACATCCGATTCCTTGAGCAAAGACGACGGCGACTACGACGAGTCAAACGAAGCAGCCTCCTGCACACGCCGACAGTCAACGAGCGCATTCCGCTACTCGCAAAGTACCTACTCGCAAACGTCAGAAAAACATATGTTTCTTTCGGCGACATGTACCGTAGATCCCCCGCGGCGGATCCAGGCCATTTGCGAGTAGTTACTTCGCGAGTAGTGGAACGCGCTCGTCTAGACAGGACCGGCGGATTTTTCAATGCGGGGCCCTGGGAAGTCCGACCCTTTCCCCACAGGGCCGGTTTTGATTTTTGCGGTCCCAGGGCCCGCGGAGGGGGCCAGGGAGAGCCCGAGAACGGGGGAAACAAAGAAGGGACCCGCTTCCTCAGGGCCGGCTTGCGCCATGGCGATGCGCCGAGATCCGACGCTGCGAATTGATATACAATTTCGCAAGAAATCGCCCCTGGGACCTCCGGCCCCAGCTGTCTGCTGTTTGCTTCAGTGGCTATGTTTCCTCGCCCCTCCCCTCGGAAGCGAGGCCGCAGGAGGCCCCCCTCGACCCTCGAGTGTCGGGGAGCGTGCGTTTAGGAATGTGCCCATGAGGCTTCAGACCCTGGATGGTTCCTTGTCTAATCTGGTGCGGCCGGACCGGGGTATCAGATCGAGGTCGGTTCGGGGAGGGTGCCTTAATGTTCTTCATGTTTGTTGGATGTCCTTGGGCACCCTCGGGGAGAGCATCTTCGAGTGATCTTATGGCTTGGGTGGTTGGGCAGGCAAAAGGTCTCGTTTGCTTGAAGGACGTTCTTCTGTCCTAGGTCCGGCCTTACCCGTGGCCAAACGTTTGAGTTGGTGTCCCACAAGCTTTCCCAGACCCTGGATTCCTTACCCAATGGTTCCTTGCCTAACGCCTTCACAGCGCCTTGCGCAGCCCACAGCGCTCTCAGGGGCTCTTGCGAGCATGACACTCTCTCTCTCTCTCTCTTTATCTTTCCTTCTCTCTCTCTATCTCCCTCTCTTTGTTTGTTTATCTCTCTCTACCTCTCTTTATTTTTGTTTGTTTGTTTGTCTCTCTTTCCCTCTCTCTCTCTCTCCGAGTTCCAGTTGCTTTACGCACTTGTCGACAACAGATGCCCTCACAGTACTCAAGGGGCTTACGCCAGTCCGAAAGAGGGCTGAAGTCGGATGAGGCCTTTCGGGGCCTCTTGGGGACCCTCAGGGGTCCTCTTTTCGGCATCGTGGGGGCCTCTTCGGGCCTCTTCGGAGTTTCTTGGGCGCCTGCTGGCGGTCTCGGGGGTCCTCTTGGGGCGGAGGGCTTCTCCAAGGCCTTCACCGCATCGCTCTTTTCCTCCCTTGTACCCCCCCCCCGAGGCCACCATGGGCTCCCTCAGGCGCCCCATGCCGCCACGCCTTGAACAGAACCAGCAGCCCAGACATCCGACACCTCGATTTTTTCGAGACTCGGGCCTCCGACCTCCCGACCACTTCCGCGGGAACGGTTCTTCATCCCGAGTCGTTTTCCGACGGTCCCGAGGCCCAGCGAGGGCCCCGAGAGGCCGAAAACGATGGAACACCTCCGTCCCGATTTTTTGTTCGAGACGCCCGATATCTGGCAGCAGTCTGGGACGCTGCCGGGCACCCACCGCTCCAGGCCGATGCTCCCTCTCGCGCAGACGCCGACCTGCTGCCGAGGTCACTCGCTCGCTCGCTCGCCCGCCCCCCCCCGCCAGCCGCACCTCCTCGGGTCCATGTCCTGCTGGCCGTGCTTGGTGTCGGCACGACTGCAGCCATATCTCTCCACGCAGTGTGGCCAGGTCTCGTAAGCCTTGTCAGATGTTGATCCTGGAGTGTCTCGCGTAGATCTCGACGATGCCCACGTGGATCGTAATGCATCGCACGCCGATCTTGGTGCTGCTCGCTCGCTCCCCCCCCCCGAGCAGGCGAGGCCCGCGGCCCTGGACGCCGCCCCGCCGCCCTCGGGCCACCACGCGGGCGGCGCGCCCGGCGACCTGCTCCGCCCGGGCCCCGAGGCGCACGACCGGGCCGCCGCTGCCGCCGTCGCCGCGGCCGCCGTCGGCGCCGTCGCCGCGGTCGTCGGCGCCGTCGCCGTGGTCGTCGGCGCCGTGTCCTGAGGCCCTGGCGTCTCAATCGTTGCGGGCCAGGCGTGTTCGTCCGGTTGCGGGCCCTGGGGCCCTCACAGATCGGTCGGGCGCGAAACGTGGTGCATCAAGATGTGGTCTAGGGCTCTGGTCGTGAGTGGTCACTGTGTTTTAATTCTGGACGCTTTGGGTATCCCCACCAGCCGTAGGCTCTTGCGCAGCCCGCTCGGACCTTACTCGCCGCTGGCGCTCTCGCCTGCGGTTGCGACGCAAAAAGTATCCCCACCAGCCCATGCAGAAACGATCGCCAGGGTAGTTGCTTGAGCAGGGACGCGTGGAATCACGCAGATGCACAGCCGCCTTGGAAGCGTGTCGAAGGGGCCGCAGAAAACAGCGGGAATATTTGTCTAGAGATTTAACCCATGTCCCCATGCGACGGCGGTTTCGCTTATGTCGCCGCGATTTATGTTACGAGCCTTCTGAAAACCTCTTTGGACCATCTTGGAGGCTAGGAGGAGGAGGAGGAGGAGGAGGAGGAGGAAGAGGAACGGACGAAGGCACGAGCTTTGAGATTTCGAGGAGGATATGAATTTCGTACCCCCTTCTTTTTGAACAGCGGGGCTCAAGGCTCCATAATACCAGCCAGATCTTGGCCCCTTCTTTGCAGGATCTTTGCAGGGGGGGGGGCCTGCAAAGACCCTGCAAAGTCGGAGCCTTGAATGCCTCTTGGTGCGATCTTGGGCACCATGGCTCACACAGGAGAGGGCCTCAATTTAGGTCCCCCCCCATCGGAGGCTTCAAAAAGGAAGGGTCTTCTTGGGGTGATGTTGGAGCGCTCTTGGGCGCTCTTGGGACCTTCTTCGGCCTTGTTTGGGGCACTCTTGGGCCATCTTGGGGCCATCTTGATCAAAAGCCCATCGGAAGCGCGGATGCTAGAAGGCAAACACCATTGATTTCCCGTAGGTATTTGAAAGAGTTTGGCCTCCTGGGGGTGCCTCGAAACGCCCGAAGGGCACTTGTAACCGTCTTGGGGCTGTCTTGTGGCGTCTTCGAGGCATGTCGGAGCCTACCTTGTACCATGTTGAAGCATCTTGGGCTATATTGGAGGCCATCTTGGTCTCTCTGAGGCGTTGTTGGGGCCAAGTGAGGCCATCTTAGACGTTCTGACCGCTCAGTCCCCCCCAACGTCCAAGGCCCAGGGGAGGGGGGAGGGGGAGGGGACCATCCGTCCCCCGAGCAGGGGGAAGCAGGAAGCTTTGGCAAAGAGAAGCTAACAAGTCATTCAACCCCACCTGCGCCCAGAGGGCCGGTGGCATTTTCTTCGCGGCGTCAGATCGCAGGGTGGTCCCAGGCCCCTTTCCTTGGCTGCTTATGACGGAATCGTTTCGGCTATCTGGGGAGTCTGGGGGGCTTCGCTGAGCCGCGGGACCGTGACAAAACTAGCGTTGGACGAAATCAACCGTGTTTGGGAAGTGGGCCAGAGTTCCGAGGGTTCCGTCTTGAAGCAAATCCTGATTGTAGCCTCCGTCCGTCACCGTCTCCGTCGTCGTCGCCCGTCATCGTCAACGTCGTCGTCGTCGTGGTCATCGCCGCCGCCATCGCTGTCGCCGTCGCCGCCGCCGCCGCCGTCGACGCGGTCGCCGATGCCGTGGTCGCCGCCGTCGTGCCGGGGAGGAGAAGAAGCCGTGACCGCTGCTCGACCCGGAGAGCCCTAGTCGCCACGGCCAGGTTCTTCTCGAAGTCCTGGTCAGACCGCGCCCCCTGGAGAGGTCTGGGGAATTTCGCGGCCGCCGCCGCCGCCGCCGCCGCCGCCGCCGTCGTCGTCGTCGTCGTCGTCGTCGTCGTCGTCGTCGTCGTCGTCGTCGTCGTCGTCGTCGCGGTCGTCGCCGTCGCCCTCGTCGCCCCCGCCGTCGCCGTCACCGTCGCCGTCGCCGTCGTCGTCGTCGACGCCGTCGCCCCCGCCGCCGTGGGAGTAGGACGGGCGAGAAAGGCGGAGGTGCAGGAGCAGGATGAGGAGCAGGAGGAAGGAGGAGCCAGGATGGAGCGGGCGATGGGGGAGGGAAAGAAGGGAGGGCGACAACGACCACGGCGACGACAACCACGACGACGACGGCGACTACGCCTACGACGAGGGAGACGGCGACGGCGAGGTCGGCGACGACGACGACGACGACGACGTCGACGAGGCCGAACACGACGGCGACGATGGACCACGACGGTCACGGGGAAGGAGGACTCTCGGCGACGAGAGACGGCGACGGGACCGTGGACTCGCCGACGCCGCAGGACGGACGACGGATGGACTGTTTTTTTCAACTCGCCGGGACTCCAGAGGTCTCGATGCCCAGGGGCAGTTTTGCATCCCAGATCCATTCTCAGTGGCCCTGTGGTCTGAAGTCGGCCCTGGGGCACGGAAATGAAGGAACAATTGTGTGGTCCCATTGGCCTAGCACCTGACAAAACGACGGCCGAATTCAAGGACTTCAAGGAACAACATCGGATCTCTTGGCATGCCCCCCCCGCTTCTCCAGGCCCAGGGGTCAAGCAGCGCCCCCCCCCGGAGCTGTCCTGGTGTGCTCTCTGGTGGGAACTTCGAGGCGCATCCCGCCGTCCTCCTTCCCACCCTCCCGGCCTCCGCACCCCGGGATCCGGCCCTCCGCCCTTCTGGCCCTCCTCCTTCCCACCCTCCCTCTGGCCTCCGCCCCAGCCAGCCTGCGGCCGAGCCGCACCGCAGCGAGGGACGGGCTGCGCTGCTCGGGGGTCCCAATTCTTCCGTCCAGTCAGGGGCCCAACGTCTGCGTCTGCGTGGCTCGGAGTCGCCGCGCGCCGTCTCTCGTGCAGGCGTCGAAGAGCGAGACGCGTCCCGCAGCGGCGCTGATTTCCATAGGCTGGGGGTCCGAGAGCCCCTCCGCCCCTTCTTTCTCCCGCGCCCGCGTCTTCGCCCCACCTGGGGAGCACAGAGCGAGGAGGGCCCTGCGGCGTGCCGCAGGGCTGCGTCCTGACCCCCCCGGTCCCGACATTCGCTGGTGTTAGCGCTGGCCGCCCTGCCCGCGAGGTTTCGGGCGCGACGCGGCGGGGAGGGCCCCTGCCGGGCGGCAGCGGCACGCCTCCTCCTCCTCCTGCTGCTTCTCCTCCTCATCCTGCTCCTGCTCCTCCTCCGCTTACTCCGCCTGCTCCTCCTCCTCCTCCTCCTCCTCCTCATCCTCCTCTTCCTACTCTGCCTCTTCCGCCTCCTCCGCCTCCTCCTTCTCGTCCTCTTCCTTCTCGTCCTCCTCCTCCTCCTCCTCCTCCTCCTCCTCCTCCTCCTCCTCCTTGCCTTGCCGGGTCTCGCCGGCTCAAACCCGCCCGCTCGCCCTTAAAAAACATGCGACGCAAAGCTTATGGCAGCGTCGGCCAACCACTACCTCTCGGTGGGCGCGGAGCGGCACGTGCCGAGCCCGCAGCGTGGCTTCGTCAGGGGCCGGAACTTCCTTGAGAACGTGTGGAGGTTGGATGCGCAGGCGCGGGCTGCAACGCTCGACTCCGCTGAGGCACTCGCTCGGCGGCGGCCGTGCCTGGTCTCCTTCGACGTGACCGCGGCGTTCCCCAGCCTTGCTTGGGCGTGGCTCTTCGCGGCGTCCGAGCGCTGTACGCAGGGCAGCACTGCAGGACGCGCATTGGATCGAGATCTTTCTACGCGTGCGTGGTGCTCACGGGCGTGGCCCAAGGATGCCCACTTTCGGGAACTTTGGGGGCCCTCGCCACGGCGCCATTCGTGGAAGCCATCGCCGGTGCATTGGCCCTGCCCTTCCGCTCGTTTGCCAGCCGCCCGCCCCGTGAGGCGATGGTCATCGGGCCAGGCCGAGGCGTGGAGTTCGGCGTCTGCGCTGACGACATGGGGGTCGTGCTGTGGGACATCTCCCTTGTCGCCCTCATCGAGCCGCACTTCCAGGCCATGGGGTGCCTTGCATGTCTACGCCTGCAGCCGCGGAAGTGTGTCCTGGTACCACTATGGCTGGCTGCCGCTGACCTTGCAGATGCCTCTGGAGCCATTCGCTCGGCGCTCAGGGCGCTCGCGCCGACTTTGGCGGACTTCACCATCTCGTCCAAGGTCAAATACCTTGGCTTCGTCTTGGGGCCAGGGGCGAGCCTCATAGACTCCTGGCACGCAGCAGCCACCAAATATAGACAACGCGTGGCCGTGCTCAAGACGGTGCCGGTACCGACGGCCGAGCTGGTCACGCTCTACAACGGCTCAGTTGTCTCCGTCTTGACCTACCTCTCCCAGCTGCTCCCAATGCCGGAAGACCTTATCAGAGGCGAGCTGGACGTTCTGCATCGCACCTTGAAGGCCCCGCCGAAGTCGTTCGCATTGATTGACCTGCTCAGCATGCGCACCTGGGCGCCTGGACCCGCGCTTGCCGCGCTGCTGCCGACTGCTTGGGCTGCCGCGTGGCGCACGGCCAACGCAACGCTCTCGGGATGGAGGGCCTTCGCGGACGCGTGGCTCGAGCGTGCGTGGGACGTCCTCCCAGCCTCCGTGGTCATCTCCGGCTGCTGGGCGGCGCCGCTCTGGGCCCAGACCGAGTCCATGCTGCAGTACATCATGTCGGTGGACACAGGCGCGATCACTGCGCCCAGCTTGCGGTTGCAGCGGCGCGGGAGGGCAGCCGTGTGCGCGGCCAACGCTGCGGCGCGGCGCGAGCTCGGCGCGGCTGCAGGACGTCGCCGCCAGCCCCGCCTGCAGCGAACGCACGCAGAAGCCGCCGCCCAGGTGCTCTTCCAGGAAGCCTTCCACGCCACCATTCGCCGCCGCCTCCAGGCTTGGTGGCCAGACCATGCGGTCCCTGCCGACCTCCGCCAGAGGTGGCTTCGCCTCAAAGCCCAGCTCGCGATTGCGGTCCCGGGCACGTGCTGGGCGACCCTGCGCACCCTTGCCGGCGCTTGGCCAACGTC